CTGTGTAACAAGCAGTTGTAAATGAGACGGAAAACAGCACTGATCATAAGGAGGCTCATATGATAGGTAGCTTCCGAGGGCTAAACTGAAGACCATATTGCAGATGAAAGGAAACCAAAACAGCACTTTTCTTTTTCTTTAAACTTCTAGACCAGAGCCTGTGCGCTATTTCACTTACTGTTTAAAAATTGATAGAGCCTTCTCACTTTTCTTCCTGTAGATCTTCATAAATTTAGAAGTCTTTTTTCCCCTCAAAAAAGAATAAGTGCTGTGGGTTAGACCTTTTTCCACATGCAGTGTTTATTGCATACTGGATTTTATAAATGTATCATGAATGTTTTATTTTAAATTGGTTTGAAAAAGAAAAAAAAAACATCTTACATAACCCTTTTGTTAATGCAGACAATGAATAAATGCACACAACCAGACACGCTGTTTTGTCCGATCCTTTCAGATACGTAAGATTTGGATGGAAAACCATAATTAGCTAATATTTTTTGGCACGTACAAGCATCCTTTGTGCTTATCCCTTAGTGGTTTACAGCAGCACAGTTGCCAAAGAGCACATAATCTTCATTCATAAATGACTTGATTTGTAATCTAAATACAAAACTCTTCTAAGAAGATTATCTGCACAATGCATGAGAAAAATCTTCCATTTAGGGAGATTCAGAAATCATGGCTCAGAGAGATGTTCACACAATTAATCCTAGAACACAACACATTTTGCACATCTATTACCTAAAAAAAAAGATTTATAGGAAAACGATGGCATAGTCTCAGAAAATAAAAGCAACTCATTCACAGTGTTAACCTTGTGCAGTTTATTAGGCAACAAGCTCCAGTAGACAACCATGTTCGCATGTTTGGAATTGAAATTTAATAGGTTGTGGTTCTAAATTACAAAAACGTACAAAAAAAAAAAAAATTCAAGGCATTCACAATATAGAAGAAAATCAGTACAGAAGAATGAAAATAAAAACTTTGTGTAGATGTATCTCAAATTTCCCTAAATTATAAAATCAATATATGCAGTGTCCAATAACTTTATCATGTACATGTGAAGACAATAAACAGGCAATTTAACAACCAAGTGTATGTATTTCTCATACATTAAAAAAAGAGAAAAAGAACAAAGTAAGAATGAGCACTTTCAAACCTTACAGGGAAAACTTCATCATAGTTTGAGACCGTAACACTATAAAACCTATAAATCATAAGAGACCTTTCCAGTATTTCTCAAGGCAGATAAATAATTTTAAGAGCACTTTTCTGTTGACAGAAAAATATTTGCACTTTACTTAAAAACAAGCAGTCAGTATAAAAAGGAGCTTTTTAACAGGAATATCAAATAAGTGAGTGCACCAGTAGCTGCAATAGATTTTTTATTTTTTATTTTTTGACTGGCAGGATTGAAAACATCTTGTCATAAACTCTGCTTACCTGTCAATTTTTAAAATGAAAATTATATATTTTGTTGTATTTAATTTTCATTCATTTTAATATTCAGCCTTAACAGAGAATCAAATTCATGCTTTCACACATCAAGCAGATGAACACATGTAACATTTCCTCCAAAATAACTAAACCTCTGACTACGGCCCCAGTAAGTCCAAACAAATGAAATAATTGCACCTACAACATGAACATTCACCCTCTGCGGCCTGAAGACACAATCTAATAACTTTCTCATGTTCTGCATGAAGTTGAATTCCTCATCTGCTTGTTCATTATCAGATGTTTCAAACTTGCTACAAAGGCTTTTGTTATGATATTTTTTAACTTTGCCTCTGCCTCAGACAAATTACTTCTGATGGAAATTTTGATGCTTTTCTGGGGGCTAACCCCACGCTCTGCTGCCATGCTAGAGACTGGAATTATAAGCCTCTCTTCAGCCAAAGCTTTTAAATCAGGAAGCATTTCTACAATTGAAATAGACTCTCTGAACAAGGGAATTCCTCATTCTTCAAACACCCGCTTTATTAGGAGGAAATCCTGCAGCATGCGCTCCTTTTGCACCAGTGGTTCAGCTGCAGCAGTTTTAGTGTAGTGGTCACGGATGCGCTCCAAAACCTCCATAATTCTTCAACATAATGTCAGCTCCTGTATAGTGAGATGCTTTTAAGGACAGTGTCCAGAGATTATGTTCAGATCCCCTCATGGGAATCTGTTTTTGATTGAATTAGTTACATGTACTCTGTGTGTAACGTTGAAAATGTCTGTCTGCACCAAGTGCTCTGGGTTGTGAATTGTATTCTGTCAAAATAACAGATGGCCTACAGATTTTTCCATCAACGTTTAAAAAACAAACAAAAAAAAACCGGCAAAGATGGAAAATATTCGGCTAACGTGACCCCGGGTGTCAAAGACAAAAGGATCTAGTCAGTGCTTTTGCTACTAAAATCCTCAATGCAGGGAACGTAGGTACGATCAGTGGAAGCAAACGGGTGAAGAGGACGGATTAGTCCGCACTGTAGGAGACACGTTGTGCCTCAAGATTGTGAAATAACCCTCCATTTAGCTTAAAAGAATGAAGTGAAACAAATCTGAGGGAGGTGGGCAAGGCACAGTTCATGCCCCTGCAATGACAAAAAGCACAGCCAGACCAGAGAGGCTGCTGCAGCAGTTTTTTGTCAGCCTAAAATTTATCAAGCAGGAAAAGCTTTCTTTTGGTTTGTTTTTCACTTATGTACAGTTTCAGTACAAAATGTCTGCTGAAGCCAGCTCATTGGCCTAAATTATAAAACTACTCCCTCCATGAGTCGTCTTTGTTTAATGAGCTCCAACCTTCAGCAACCAAATTGTTTTCCATGTCTTAGCTGATTGGAAAAAAAAAAAAAAAAAAAAAATTTTTTTTTTGCCAATTGAAGTCTTGTTTATCAATTCTTCAACTTTCTTTACAACCACAACATGTGTGCCATTAGCTTGAAGTGACAATGTCACGGAAAACTGATGCTTTTGTTAGTATTATAAAGTGGGATGTTGTGGTGACAGTTGTTGCGACAAGGTTTCTGGGGCTTGTCCCCATCCAACCACAATGTGGGTCAAGGTGAACTTTCAGCGCTTCCAGTCGCAGCTTTTGTCACAAATGTTAATTCTCTACTGTGGCAAATTATAGGGAGACTGGGTTCTCAATGGAGCACTTTTAAATACCTGCACGGGGTTCCATTTTATTAGGTCTCCAACCTGATGCTCTAAGACAACATTTCTCCTGACTTTGTTCTCCTTGTTGGATAAATCCCCATAAAAGTCTTAACTTTATGAATTCTTATTCCTGCTGGAGACTTGTCACTCTCACCCAATTTCTGTCTTGGGTGGTTATTATGTTATAAATTTTCTTAATTTGGCATTTGTAAAAAAAAATACCATCACTCTTCTTCAACTCTCTGCTGCCTTCGTGTTTTTTTCCTATCATGTCATTTTGGATATTCCTCAACTCCGAATGACAACAAAAAGGAAAGCTTGCAAAAATGATTTTATATGCCCTTTAAAAAAATGTGTTCAGAAGTAATTCTTTATTCCGTCCTTTGAAACCAAAACTTGAAGGGTGAAAATATGAATCTGATTAATTTGTGTTGAGCAACATAACATCTATTAAGGCCGTCATATCTAACACCTATTTCTAAAAGAAGTTTAAGTGAAAATAATCCGTTTTGCGACATCTCACAAGTTTCCTAATTCTAAACTTGCTTTTTAATTTTTTCTTAATAGTTTTTATCATCCACATGTCCAAGGAACTGGCTTTATGTGTTGATGTACTGTAACAAAATCTTGGAGTTCCTGACAAGTTCTATTATATTAACAAAAATATCATCCATACATTTTACAATATATTATAGAATTAGGCAGATATGAATAGACTTCAGCTTTGCTTTGTTTAACAAGCAGGATGAAGAGTTCTGATTTGAATATCTATAATTTTTTATTTGATTCCTCCTACACCAACAAAATAAATACAAGTCATTTAACATTCAAATAATATCTTATTTTTTTCCTTTTAGTCAATTCTTGGTATTGTTAGGAACACTTTTAAAACAATATTTTTAATCTTGTTACGTTTTTCTTCCAGGATATTTAACAAGCACTGGATATGTGAAGACATTTTGCACTGCACCCCTTTGTTAGTCAAAAGCGTAATTTGTGCAATTCTGTTGCTTAGCTTTTCCATTTGCACAGAGCATCTCAATATGTCAGAACTCATCACATCTGTAAAACAGCTCTAATGAGGCTTCTGGACAAAAATGAAAAAGCAAACATTTGCAAAAGCTAAGCTTAAATGCAACCCAGTATTCTGTCCACATTTGCTCTCATATCTTCCTGAAAATTGCGAGTCAAGCAGTAAATCCTTATTGTCTGTCACCTGACTTAGATGTCAGGTTTTTTTGTTGTTGTTTTTTTTTAAGAAAAATAAGACACAAACATCACCCACATGCACCAAAGACTCTTCTGACTCTGCACAGACATCATTTTGTCAGAAGTGCCGTGATGCTGAAGAGGCCCTTTTCGACTTCTGGTGATCATAAGCCCTCATTCTCTATTCTGGCTCATCGAGCAGCCGTCCAAACAGAGCTGAGTTTGCTCAGGTACTTGTCCTTGATGGAGAAAGCTGCAGTGTGTTAGTTAACGCTACACACTGTGTTGAGGCAATGTACGTTGCCTAAATCCTGACCCACTTTTAGTGTCTTTGTGCTTTCAGGATTTAGATCAAGTAATACCGAGGGAGATAAATGCCATACTGCCTAACAGGCTGTGTGGAGTGTGTCATGAGGCAAATGAATTAAGCACATATCAGAGCGAGGGAGAGGGGTGGATACCTTGTGTAGATGTATGAAATCCCCCTCCATCCAAAACAATAATAAATAGATGATTGTCCGCATCAAACGTGAGGCAGATCATATCGCAAGTTAGGCACATCAAACGTGTTTTGATGTGCCTGCTTCACAAGGCGACTGAAAAGCTGCTTTGTGAATTAAATTTGAACACAGGAACTCAAAAGGGAGTCGGTTGTGAACATTTATTTGAACAGTAGTGACCTTGTATTGCTTCTATCAATCTCTGCCGTTAATTACCGTGTGCATTTAGAGGTACAGAGAGCGTCATTTATTATGAAGACCCAGGGAAAGGACTAGAAGTGAAGCTGTTACGGAGCAGCAGGAGGATTTACCGGCAGGGTTGTAAACTGGCTGTGACATTTGGCCAGGACGCTGGCAGTGGGCTCGACTTACTTAATGAACTAACATGTTCCTGTTGGCAGCCCTAAGTGTACCATTTATTACAACAACTGGGGTAAAGACACAGGGTGCAGTCGGCCAGGTCTGAAATCACAGCAGACGCTAGATGAAAACATCTCACCATTTTAATAATCAGGATTTTCAAAATAAAATAAAATTAGCAGAGGACAATAATAACTTGTAAAATAACCATTAAATGCATCGATGTCTTTCTCAGTGAATATATTTCTAAAGAGGCTATTCACATAAAATTCTCCTCATCACAAACATCATATTCCAGTTAAGTCTTTACACCAGTGAACAAACTGTTCATCTTTGGAAAAAAAAACTGAAGTTAGCCTAAAAATACATTTTTTGTTAGTACTTACGCTGTGTCGTTCAATTTTATTTCACATAACTTAATATATTTGTGTGAATTATTTTCTAGAATCGGGTGTGAATTTCACACCAATAGCCCTGTAATAAATGGATTTACTGAGAAAGTGTTAACATGTTCCATGGTAATTTTCCCTATTTTATCTTAGGACAACCAAAGTAAAGTTTTACGAAAACAATAAAACTCTGTGTCTTCAAAGCTACAAATACAAACTCTGTAGATTTTAGGAGAAATGAAAATTATATAGCCAGAGGACATTTTATAGTCCATGCCAATAACAATCAGACTTGGAAGTTTTATAGTCCACCAGGTGTTCAACCCATCCTACAAAGTACGCCTGTAAGACAAAACAGAGAGAAGATAAACATGTGGTGCACAAAAGGCACATGGCAGAAGAAAATTCACTGCATATATTTACACAAATCCTTTGCCATTCATGTAATTGTTTCAAATTCTTGCTGAAATCAAAAGTCATCGGCTGTATGCGGGAATGACGCACAGGTTTTGAGATAATTCGGGAACAGAAACGTGTGAAATCAGTTTGTGACGGGCTGGAATTGCCAGGCTGCATTTTCAGGCACCAACTAAATCCTGCAAGGATCTGAAAAACTGCCACATGTTTCCCCACAACTGGCAGGAATGATGACCAGGCTGACACACTGATGATGGAGCCAGACAAACCAGTTAGCCTCAAAATGAGCTGCAGTACAGTATATACCAGCAGCATCATTCCAGCCAACACCAGAAAGGAAGAAAAAAAAAAAAAAAAAAAAAATGTCAAAAGGCTTGCACATACTCTGTAACAACTGAGAAATGTGTTTGTCTGAATGGTAGTTCTTGGGGAAAATGTCTATCAGACCAAATGAAATGCTTCAGAATCCATGTTGCAATCTGTCAGAAGTAGTTTGTCCAGCATAGTATTTACTAAAGCCAACAGATCACATGGAAAGTTGATTCTTTGTATTGATCACAGTTGTTTACTACCACATTCACTTGGTACT